TCATGTCAAACACCTGCACAGCTTCAAAAGCTTAAATGTTACCGCAGGGGTAGGCATCTAAGCTCTAGATTAGACCTCTTTGGATCTACCTACATAAGACATTTTCAGATACAGATCCTCTGCAGACAATCATCTCTCTGCTGTTCATTGTTTCACCACTTCTGACATTAACATTGATGCACTTGTTTAAGCTCAGGAAGACAAACTGGATTTTTCTCACTGAACAAGTTAAGTGAACTGAAAATCACTTATTTTATTTTATTTTATTTTTATCAATTTGCTGCCATATTAGAAAACATTTTTTGTATTTGTTTTRAAGACTTACATGCTAAAAATAAAATAAAAATAGTTTTTAATGTTTGCATAGGAATATTTCCCTTTATCACCTACATTACTATTTCATTTCTAAAAAATATTTCCTTGACCTAATTAGCAGTAGCAGCTAATCAAAATATGTAATTTACTGCTCTTTGTTATAGGTGAAAAATGGCCATTAAGGATAAATAAGTACAAGGTGTAGTTGGTTCTGGCTCTCTAACATAGCTCAAGTTTTTCTGGTGGTCTCCAGTAAAAATGAAATGCCCACCCCTGCCTTACCGTCTCCTATGATGCTGAGTATGGCCAGGTCGACCAAACGCTTCCAGTAGGATCCTTTCTGCAGAGCAATTCCATAACCTGTGGTGGCAAAAATGTAACCACTGCCGATCGTCACCAGCTTGCAGCCGTCGTCTCTGCCCGCCATGTAGTTCAAGACTGCAGCATCATAAATGAAGGCATCAAGTTTTCTGGAAGAGAAACAAACAGTGAGTTTTAGAATTCAGATTGTTCAATGTGGACCTAGAAGATAGATGGTTTGAGGTGAGGGTAAAAGAAGTAATTTACGTAAAACAGAACAAAAAAAAAAAAAAAGGAAAAGGAGAAGTTCTCATATTTCATCTTTTAATCCATTAGCTCATTACCAAAACCTGTGACCTCTTTTATGGTTTAAAATACATATTATTTCAAAGTRTGAAGTAAAAGGAAAAGTGTGTAAGATAAAGGTGTGTAAAAGAGTGTCAGTCTAGACTGCAGAGGCTGCAGAATATAATGTAAAAAACCAAGCATAAAGTAAAAACTGCTGTATTTTCTTTACAGCACATGATAAATGGTGGATGAGGCTAATACTATAGACTGTTCCAGTGTTCATACCAGTGCTAAAATGTATCTAAACGTATTTGTTTTATTGTCACTAAATGTAATAACTTTCTCCAGTGAGCTCACCTGCACTGTTACAGTAATTGCTCCTGAAAAACTGTTTCCACTTTTTGCACATTTTCTCACATTTTCTGGGTCAATCTACCCACTAAACACACAGACTTGAAAAAAACAAAACACAGAATCCCCACAAGATTTTATCACTTTATGYGTTTACTCTGCAGGGCAAGAATGATGGTCAAGAAAAAAAATAATGCATTTTATAACAGAAAAACTTCAGTTCCTCTTAAATTGCCGAGTACAGGACCTGTAATGGATGACCATCATTTTAGATTATCTATTTAAAATTACTGTAATAAATTATCTCAGTCATTCCAATGACTAACATAGCTCTTTTTAATTCAGGTATATTTTTGATTTATTCTTTAACACATGAAAACTTCAAAGTAAAAGGTTTATTTAAAAGCTGGGTAATAAAGGAAGTCCTAGCCTTTTTCTTTTTAAGAAATGCATATCAGCTGCCATTTTTCATGTCAGAGAGTTTTAAACTAAGATCTTTTTAGTAGTGGTAGTAGTAGTTCTTTATTCATTTCATTTGTAACACAATTTTAACAAAGTTCAAAAAACATGGGATCAAAAATGAAGTCAAATAAAATGAAAGGCAGCATAAGAAGAAAAAATCTTATAATATCTGTTGCTTTTTTATACCCAAAATATGTTCAAAGGAAAAGTAAAATACAACAAAACTCAAAAC